AGGTGTGGTATAGGGCCAAGAAGACAAGCTTTGGGATCAGACAGAACTGAGTTTGAACCCCAGTTCTATCATTCACAAGCTGTGTAACCTTAAATAGGCACGTGATCTCATGTAAAACAGAGAATGGTAACTACTTTGCAAGGCTGTTCTAAAGATTAAATGCAGTAATGTGTACTCAGTACACATTCCACAGTCCCCTTTTCTTCCCCCAGTGATGCCAGGGACAAGAGGGTAAATCTTTAAAGGAAAGAACCCATTATTCATAAAGAGATAGCTCAAGGTCTTCAAATATTTGCAGAACCCAGTAATATGGATGCTCTCTCAACTTTAATCAACTTAGGAAAAAAGGCACATTGAGTTCTAACATTTCAGATCTCTCGCTCCTATCTGGACAGACATGCTTGTGACTTGTTTGCTTCCACATGAGAAGCAACTGGCTGGTCAGAAATCACTGTCAGCAAAGTACAGCAAATTCATATAAAACAATACCAAACCATAAGCACCAGGCCACTCTGTAAGGAAGCCTTTCCATTATTCCAAGCAAATCACTTTGCATATAAGTGGGAAACAGCCTCATCTAATCCTTCATCATTCATGGCAAGAACATCAGAGTGAAAGACAGGAGTCCTGGCCTTGCCATTTTAAAGGTGACCTTGGACAAGTTTTTAAAGTTTTAATATTCATTTATTCAAAAAATATTTACTGAGTGTAAGATCCCTGTTCTCATGGAATTTACATTCTAATGGAAGAAGAAAGACATCATATAATAAACAGATAGACAGATAGATAGAAGGATAGGTAAGAAGAAATTAGCAGATAGTGGTAAGTGATTAGAAGAGAATGAAAATGTTCATAAAATAGGTGGTGACTGACTGGTTAATTTAGGATGTAATCATTTTGGAAAAGTTGACATTTAAGCTAAAATCTAAGGAAGTAACGTCTCCTTTCTGTAACATCCATCCATATCTTTTTCTATAAGATGCAACTGCCAAACTGGGATGCTTTTGAAAGTCTCCTCCAGCTCTAGGAACCTGTGATTTCATGGCTATTAGGGATATATTATATGTGTGTGTGCAAATATATTTTCAACATCAAATATTATCCTATATTTGGTTGAGCAAATCATTTATGGCAGTGAGTCTTAGCTTTAAAGACATTTAAGGTAACAGTAAATTCTTTGTAAGAAACTAAATATAGCTTTGCATACTGAACTTCTTCTACTGTTCTTTGAGCTCTGACAAAGAAGTGCATATTTTGTTAATGTTTTTTGGAAAATGAAGCCAAACTGGCCTCTGATCAGAAGGGTTCATATGTCCTTGATGTTTCAAAATAGGCAAAACACATGAATTTGTAATGAGATTAGAAGTTGTCTTAAACTAATTCTTTCTGGTGATCACTTAGAACTACAAATTCAGACAAATTGAAATTTTAAAAGGTGAAACTCTAAGCCACATGTTCTTTTTTTACATAAAAACAGAAAAAAACCCTGAGGTGATGGGGTATGGAATTTTTTAACGAAACATCAGTATTCTGACCCATATTTTTCATGCACCAGTTAACCAGAAAATTATAAAACCTGAAAAACTCAGATAAATTGCACCAAGGGAATTAACACAATACATTCACCCCTCCCCTCCACTTTACGTCCTTCTCTCCCTTCCCTCCCTCCATCCCCCCTTCCATGCTGGGGCATATTTCTGGAATGGAAAAGAAGGCCTCTCAAGCTGTTGAAAAATGAGGGCCTCTGAATTTTTAATTCTGTTAACTAATCATTAGAAAACTAGAAATTGCTGTCTCTCTGAGAACCAGTGAGGTAGCAGGCTCCAAAGACTCGGTGTTTAATTTTGCAGGAGCTGGCTGGTTTCCCAGCAACACATTGATTTGTGGGGCCACTATTTTGGGCACCTCGAGGATAATTAAATATTAAGTCCCTCTTTGATGTATGCAAAGTCTGCCTAAGAGGATTACCAGACACAGCAATGGTAGCAGTCCCACATTTTCTGGTAATTGAACATTGCAATATCATTATCTATTCTTATCTTTACTCTATAAGAATCTGTCTCTATCCTTAATATTTCCTTTGAGAATGGAGAAGGGGATAGGGAGAAATGAAAATGAGAGCTCATGCAATCAACATTTTGGGGTCTTCTAGGTGTTTAGGATACGGAGATAAAGAAGATCAATTAATGTGTGTGGAGGAAATGACCGATGAGGCAAGCAAACCATCCTTTATCTCCTCTAGTTCAGGGTTCCACTTTACACGCCAAGTAACCAAGGCTCACAGTTTAAGAATCTTCTCCAAGATTATAAAACAACAGTGGAGGAAGGGTGGAGACGGCTGCATATGATTTGTCCAATGGCGCCCTGATCTTTCTACTGCTCTAGTGAAAGGTAACATAGCTTTTTACAAACAATAATGGAGATGATCTCAAATTTATACTATGGGCAGAGTTCTATAACATTCCAGAAATTATTGCTGTTTCCATTCTGAAGCCATAATTTGTCTGCATTCATTTTCCACGTAGCAAGCAGTTATTTACAATTATAAGACAGAGTTCCCCACCACATTCGCTTGCCATTCAAAATAGACTTGAATCAGCAATGCCAGGCTGACAAAGAATACTTAACTTTTAAAGGAGGAAGAGGAGACACTCACTGATTTAATTTATTTTTGGAGAAGACTATAAATGAATAGCATAATTAAGCTACTAGGGTAGTTTTCCTATTTCTATACCAAATACTTTAAGAAACTCAGATCATTAACTTCCAAGAACAGGGAAACTGTTCTTATACTGGGAAAAATAAAAGGGGGAGAAAATTAAGAGTGAGGGGGACATGATATGACCTCTACTAGTTAAGAGTTAAGACTGGGGCCGGCCCCGTGGCTTAGCGGTTAAGTGCGCGCGCTCCGCTGCCGGCAGCCTGGGTTCGGATCCCGGGTGCGCACCAACGCACCGCTCCTCCGGCCATGCTGAGGCCGTGTCCCACATACAGCAACTAGAAGGATGTGCAGCTATGACAGACAACTATCTACTGGGGCTTTGGGGGAAAAAATAAATAAATAAAATCTTTAAAAAAAAAAAAAAGAGTTAAGACACATCTGGGAGAGATGTCTCTAGAGTGCCTGGAAGAGTCTGCACCACCAGTGGAAACAGTGGTGAATGAGGAGCTACATGTGGACCTTGCAAACGGGAGAAAACAGTTGGCACTCAGTGAAATAAAGTCAAGTCAGTTTAGAAAAGTGCATGGAAAAGGAATCTGAACAAAGATTAAGCTGCCTTATATCCTGGTTTTGGAAAAAGTGCAGCTATAAAGAAATTAAAATCTCAGAAATATCCAGAAATCACATAAAAGTTCCAACTTGTTTTTTGAGTAATTCTAACACTGAAAAAAGCTCAAAAGAAGAAACAGTGGTTATACTTATATTATATCTGAAGCATTTAGGTCCAAATATCAAAGTGTACATTCTAGTCTTTCAACACGACAGATAAGATGGATGTTTTCCCCTTTTTCAGAATCTGAAGTTCCACGACGTGACCTAATTTAGAGCTGACCTCAGCAATGCCACATGAGCCTGCATGTTTGCTGAAAACAAGCAAACCTCTGACATCTACTACGCCAGGTACCTGGAGTGTATTTTATAGCCTATTGCATTTGTATTCACAGACTGCTCTTTAGAAAGGCTGTTAGTGGTTTCTTGATGTAATTTAAGGCAAAACGTTGAGACTAAGTATGTTGGTCAGGTCATAGTGCTTCAGAGGGAGTATTATTCAGATATTAGTAACTTTTAATACAATTCATTTCAGCAATTTGGCAAGATTAGAGAATCTCTATATGTCTATCTTTTTTGAATCTCAAATTCTCTGACCATGAAGAATAGATAATAATATTTACCCATTTATCTTATAGAGGGAAATAAGAATATATAAGATAATAATTATGAAGATGCTCTGAGATGAGTCTCAAGATATTCTTATTTGCTTCATTTTAAAAAAAGAAATTCATTGTTATTTAAATGTGTAATAAGGATATAAATACAAATTATAAAACAAAACTTTAAAATGAGAAGGTAAATCGAGTTGGAGTCAGACTGCCAGGAAATTCTCTTTTTGCAAATTAGATTATCTGGGAAGTCTTATTTTCTAACTTTTATTTTAGATGCTCTATTCTGCATGCTAAAGCACTTGATTGAGGTTACTGACTCTTAGATACTATGTCTTTAGGAGGCATCAATATAGAATTTAAGCCAAACTTCAACAGCCACCACATTTCTTTCATTTAGGAATTATCATTCCTATTGATTCAATCAACAAGCATTTAAGTTCTGAGTATATGCACAGCATACTTAGAGGGATTCAAAAGACGGTAAGTACATCCTCCCGGGCTTCCAAGTTTTCATGGTAGTGGGGAGACAAAACTTTTAATAATAATAATAATAAAATAATTAAAGCTCAAATGTGTGGAATTCAAGATTCAACATTCAATTATGTTTGAAATGATCAGGAAAGGTTTCAGAGAGAAGATGGACTGGAAATGGATGGTATGGAGAAACTAAGATCCTGTGTGTCTGCTATGTTACGTCTACCTAGGTACAGAAGAGAGGGTATTTGAGTGCCTGGGCAGAGCACGAAAGAAATGAATTAGCTAAACTGCACACTGCATTTCCATTTAGATCTGTATTTCTCCAGAGAAGGGTGAGCCACCATAATTAACTGATACTGTGAAAAATCCTAACTATATCCTATGAAGAGAGAAGTGATACACACTTGGTAAGTAAGTGAGACATCATCTACTATGCATATGCATATTCAAACACATGGAAAAACAAAAACAAACTCTGGTGCACATATTTAACTACTAAATAGCTGGACTGATGAACATATTGGAACATTTCCATTAGCAAGCTGATTATTCACTTGAAAGTAGTTTAAAGTAATCAAGAAATGACCTCTCATTATTGTTAACAGGGAAAATATTCAACAAGTGAGATGCTCCCTTACCTGTCTCTGGGGCCAAGTGGCTTTGAGAATGGCTTCTGTTCTAAAGAACACGAGGAGCTTGCCATCCTCCTCATTCAGGTGAAATGACTGTTCCAAGATCTGCAGCACATCAATGCGGGGCCTCACGGGCAAGGCGTCATCAGCACAGAAAGGCCGCAGCCACTCCACTAGGTCCTCAGAGGAAACCAGCTCTTCCCTGCAGGCCAAAACCAAGGGTTAGGGAGAAACTCCTAAGTCTCTTCTTCTTCCAGTAATCAGATGTGGTGATTACCTAAACACTTGTTTGATGGGTCACTTTATTTTTTTCCTATTGAGAGGAAAAACTTAGGTTTTAAATGGCTTATAGCAATCCATATTAGGTATTTTATTTTTTTTTATTTTTATTTTT